TGTCATCGTTCACTGCAGAGACAGTGAGTAAGGGGGCTTCCACCCTGTAGCGACCCTCTTGTTTGCAGGACTACTCCCACCAAGAGAACCTGCCGAGACCAGAAGGTCCAGAAAGGGGAGAGGGCGGACCAAGCCACACCTCGGTCTGGGCACTGCACTGCATCCATCCCCAACATGATACTAACAGTTAATTATATCGCCTCCCAAATATGCTACGTTGATTACATTTCTAATTTAGACTGCATACAATTATATTATAACTATTAAAGATACGAGTATGCTAATATATGTATACACAAAACTATACACTATATTACGTACACTGGAGTATTTTATACTTGCTCCTTATAAAGCTATAGTCAGGGGTTTTTGTACTTAATTCTTGGATCTTCATCATGCTAAAGTTGGAGATTTTAAGACTTCTTTCCTTATTATGCTAAAGATAGAGGTGTTATACTGCTTCTTTTTATGCTGGAGTTAGAGATTTTATTTTCTAATTTCTAATCTAATTTCTTAATCTCAATCTATTTCTCAGTAAATAATGTTGTATATTGATTAATAAAGCTGTCAAAATGTGACAGACTTGAGGCGGGTTCAGAACCACACATGCCTGTGGGCCCTTTATTCCAGTTTCAGAGTTCTTACAAAGTTCCGTCAGAGTTTTCCCAGACAGAATAAAAACTGGCAAAGAGAAGTGAAATCGTCATGACCTGATCACTTCATGTTATGTCTGTGTTTGTCCTCTGTGTAGGTCAGGCATGTCAAACTCAGGCCCGCGAGCCAAATCCAGCCCACAAGACCATTTTTAGAGGCCCCTAATGTGATTTTCAATTATCTTTAATACAGTAACTTGCAGCAATGATCGTGATGAGATCTATGGCATGTAAGACTTCATTTGAAAGTCTTAAATCTCAGGAAAACATCCATACATCATTGTATCTGTTTTAAAATGTTAATTTCAAATACATCTCTTCTTGATAATTGGCCGAGTTGTGGTTGAATCCAAAACTACAAGACAATAATGTCCGAACTCATGTCAAATACAGTTAATATATCAAAAAATATGCTTCTAGCCCCGATCAGCTCTTATGTTTTAAAATTTGGCCCCCGACCAAAATTAGTTCGACAGCCCTGGTGTAGGTCATCGTTCATAAAGCCTGTTGGTCTTTTATGAGACTTTTTGTGCAAATAAGACAGAGCTTGTCATTCCGACAGACTGCAGGAGTCACTAGTGTTCCAATTGATGTTTTGGTTATCTGAACGTTGATGTAGACTTATCTCCTGGCACCGTGGCACCTGCAGAGGGAAGCTTCCATGTGTTTTCCTGGATGTAAAACCATGTGAATGATGTGAAACAGTGGTTGTCTTCTGCTCTGACACTATCCCATAACTCCGCTCTCAGGGTGTACAAAAGCGACTCAAAAACAGACCCAAAGTCAATAGAGGTTTTAAGAGTTTTAATAGAAAAAGGCAAAAATCTCAAAATAATTGCTAGATGTAAGAACACAAGGAAACACGTCTGCCGCATGAGGCAGGGAGCACACAAACTAAATACACATGGACACAGGTGAGACACATCAAGGGTGGGGCAATGACCAGGGACAAGAAGTTAATCTAGAAACAAAGACAAGTAAAGGTGATTTCACAATAAAACACAATCGATATGACATCCGTATCTTCTCTCATTTTCTTCAAGCCTCTTTTTTTCCACCTAAAGTCTTCCATACTTGTTTTATTTTCCGTCCACATGATAGACTGTAAAAATTAACGGACGTAGTCACGCCTATCTCCGCCGTTCTAACTAAAGGCCCAAAAATAGTGCTCTACTGGAGCTATCCAAAATGGCCGCGAGTGGTCCCGCCCACAAGAAAATAGTGAAAAAACGCATCTGCGCATGCATCAGCCGGCGCAGCTCCATTCATTTGAACGAGTGACTTTCACAGCAAGTTCACTAGAGTGGTCCAAAAAAATTCACCCCCCTCAGCATTGACACACATGTGGAACGGAGCTTTGGGCCAAGAGCCAACTTTTGGTCCATCCTGTAAAGACGTTTTCGAGAGGTCTGCTAATGCTATATGTTAGCATTGGCTAATTCTACTTCTGGGTCCACCCCCATCGGCCCGGGGTGGTATTGCAAGCATGTTAGCGCACGTCATTTTGGCCACTTTTTAGCCGGGACCCTCCCCCACTGGTCCACATACAGGTGCTACATTGACAGAGAATTTTAAAAAAAAACGCTTTTGAGGATTTATTGACATAGGAAGTGTTGAATAATACGAACGAAAGCGGAGTAAAGGAATAAGTTGCTGAACGACTGCTGCAGATGTAGTTGAGCTCTTGACAAGCCTCTCGAGCCATTACTCAAAAACTACACGGCTGGATTTGTACCTGCTAACCATGTGCGTTCAATCAAAACGCAGTAAACTTGTAATGAAATTTCCCGTTGCAGCCATCAATATCACTGCTTATTAAGCCTTCAGCCCTGCTCCAGTGACAAACAACAGGGCGTAATGTGAGACCTGAGGCGGGGAGCGGAGGGGCCCCTTGGTGTGAAAAGGCCTCAGTCAGGGTTGGTTTAAGCCGCACAAACCAGTAGTCACTCCGTCCACAGCTCCTCACAGCATGTAACCACCATCTGGGCCGGGTCCTGCTTCCACACGGCTCTATTTGTACAAGGGACCGCATGAATGTGTCCAGTCAGAATGCAGAAGCAACGGATTGAAGAGATTTGGATCACGTAAATGTGACAAAACAATCATCTTGGACCAGCACCTGAAAGAAGTGTGCATCAAGCTGCTTTTTTGGGCCGTTATGATACAAAGTATATGCAGCAGTTATGATGATGTATAATTATGCTACAGACCTGCATTATCCCTAAATAAAGATTATCACAGAATTATTATTCCAAATGCATGCTATATATACTAAAATAAATTAGCTAAAATAGTTAAAGCTGGGGTATCTTTTTGGTACCATTTTATTTTTTTGTTTTTTCCTAACCAGGCTTGATGAATTAACACTAACAACCCATTATACTGAACATTAATCTAATTCACATTCACAAAGGAATGGTTGGATTGTATCAGATTAGGTGTGGTCCAGGCTTTGGTGGTAGAACAAGAAAGCATATTAACAGAAGTTCCACATATAACAAGAATAATTACTATTTGGACATAACATTCTACAATGTAAGTGCGTGAGTGCAGTAACGATACAATCGTGTTTTGATTCATATCACAATTTTTATCCAGTGGGGGTGGGTCCCGGCTCATAAATGTCCATAAGCATGTGAGCTGACAGGCTTGTTTTTTGCCAGTGGTGGCGTCCCTGGAAATAGAATTATTCAATGCATTCTTCATTCATTCATTTATTTTTTAAATAAAAGATACCTAAGAAAATAGGTAATGTCACTTTTTGATCACACTTTGTTAAATATTTATTTCCAATGGCCATTAGTTGAACTATAATTATCTAACCCATGTTGATTACATACATACAACATGAGATGTGAATTTCCAGAGCTATAGTTATTGACTGAGGTCTTTAGGTCCCATGGATAATGTAGTGAAAATCCAGACATGAAGGAAACCAGTAAAGAGAATATATATATTAAATTATTATGTTTTTTCTGGTCTTTCTCAGAGTCATGTGGTTTCGTTAACAAGCCACAATGATCCGTGCAGTCGTGCTTAGAACTTTTTGCATGAATGTCATTGCAGTGCCAACAGCGACAGCTATACTCTGTTGGTTGAATAGTTTCTATGGTTACTGGTCCTAAAGCACCCAAAGGTCTGACAGAGAGGGTCATGGGGCAAGGGCAGGTTGTTTGACAGACCGCTAACACATGTTCTGCTCTGGATTCCATCTGGGTTCAGCTCCGACACAAAAATACTACTGTTAAAGTCGGCACAAAGGCGTACAGCGATTAGTCACCAACCTGTGCAACTCCTTCTTAATTGGGAATTTGGCAATTAATGAGAAAATGGTACAAACGTATTAAATGTCAAATAATGTCAAATAATGTTTGAAAATACATTTTTTTCATATAAGTGATTATACATGTTTTCTGCCAAAAGTGAATATAAGGCAACTGAATGTATTTTTTCTTGTGTCTTCAGAAATCTTCTATTGTGGTCAGCAAACATTGTTCATTTGGTTTTCACATCAAATGGTCTGTCTACATAGTTTACGGCTGAAATAATGAGTTAAACAAATACAAAATGGTTTTTAAAAAGATACAAGAAATATTTTCCTTGGAATGAGAAACTAAAGCAACAGTTCAGAAATAGAAATAAGTCTGAATGTCTTTGTCCCATTGGCAAATCTTGTTTTAAGACAGCCAGAATTTACTCAAACTAGGATAAAAGCCACTCAATTCAAGCAGCTGGTACTTCATATTTTATCAATTTGGCAGTATATAAATATATGAATGTATAGTTATGCATTAAACCTACATTATCCCTATGCAAAGATTATCACATAATACCTGTTCCAAATGCATGCACATAGGGGAAAGTAGAATTGAGGAATGCCAAATTTGCTGACAAAGCTGTTTGCATTGTCCCTGTAAAAACTTAATTTAAAATGTTTCAATATTTGGTTTGAACATAATAAAAATTAATGGACAAAGTAGCTGCTGCATGAAATATTACATGACACAGGTTATCATACAGACAGACGGACGGACGTACAGTATGTATGTATGAAAACATGTGTCATGAAATATTACATGCAGCAGCTACTTTTCTCAGGGAATTTTTTACTGTAGGGAAAAGCCTCCACTGTTTACAGAGTTGTCGACACAGATCAGAGAGTCGGTGTGTGTGTGTTTCTCACCACAGCAGATAGAATCATGTTGTGTCTTTAATAAATAGTGTCCAGAGTTTGTGTATTTTCCTGAGCGCACACAGGCAGACCACACTGGAGGCCTCATCTCTGTGGAGTTTTTCAACATGGAGCACTTTGAGGCGTCTGTGAGGAGGGAGTAGGAGGAAATAAACATGGGACACACACATGCAGTGACAGAGGACCAGCTGCTGGTGGCGCTCTTCAAACGCGGTATCACATTTTCCCCATGAGTTTAAGTAGCTAAAGCTTTATCTCAAGACATTACTTCTCAAGATATTACTTCTCATTTTACATTTCCGTGTGTACAGTGGGCCCTTGCTCACCGTTGGTTTGAGGAAGACTCAAAATGCTGAATAAAACAAAGAACAACTTAAGAACAGAATTTTGGCAGATTAAAAAAAACTGGCATGGAATAATGACGAGGGAAACATGGTCAAAACCACAGAAAAGTTATGTTTTCTTGTGCTATGTAAACCTGGAAAAATCCATGACTGACGATGGAGCTGTCATTGCACCAAAGATTCTTCACCGAAACTCACTTAATTAGTCACAGTCTTTAACTGGAAGGTAAAGGTAAGTTGGAAATATGTTTGCCAATGGTGAGCCCTGGAGTTTTAAATAAAAAAGTTGACTATACAGACATAAATATGTTTCAGTTAATTTTGTGTATTTTTTGGTAATGCATGTGGGGGGGCAACTACGAAAGTTCATTTTCACAGCGCAGCCATAATTAGCCGTTCATTTGCATTTGAAAAGGGCCTGTCATGACACCAAAGTGCTATTGGTGCCCTCAAACTGTTGCAATCAATTTGATATACAGCTTCCTATTGCTTGCAACACGTCACACTAACCATTCATCTCACACACGGTGGTGGTGAGCTCCTAGCCACAGCTGCCCTGAGGGAAACTGCTCCAAACATGCTTCACATTATTTCTTTCAATATTACCAAAATACTCGCCTATATTTTACAGGATTGTCAATAGCTTGAGTTGAGCTAAAATTGCCACTTAGTTTATATCCTTTGGAGTTGGTGGAAGCAAATGAACCAAAAGCAAAATACTGGACATGTTGCTAACCCATCCTGGAAAAAATAAGGTAGATAAAATATGTGAGAGTTACAAAAACAGATTATGTTAGAATAACAGCCAAGCATTACACGCAGTACATCCTCCAGGAGTTCTCCAAAGCGGCTGTTATTGTTGAGGTTTTTACTTTCAGCGAGGATCCTTGGTTTGAAATAAGTCGGCCATTTAGAGACAAATCTACCAGCAACATCTCCACTAAACATCATCTCAAAGTCTTGGTTAATCTGGAAGACATGATGAATTATATTTTGACTGGTGTAGGTCCTGTACTAGAGATTGGCGATATTGAAAAGTAACCCTCATCTTCTCCTTTATGATCGTTTGACTTGTTGAGAGAGTCAGCATCGCGATAGCTTCTTGGCAGTCATCTCCGAATAGCTGGTCTTCAAGTAGTTGCCAATGTTTTCGGACTAACTTCCTACGATCAAAGTTTGAGGTAGGCCTCTTTGATCGAACTGTGTTTTGCTGACATGTTTTTATTTGCCAGGACAGGTAACCAGACCCATCCATAGGTTCATAGTGCTCCTTAAAAACAAAAAAAGTGTTGAAAATTATTTGTGCAGGTTAACAAAGAATGAGCTGTACAGAGAAAGAGCACTTACAAATTATTTCAGGGACCACTAGTGTAAAATTATACCTGGGTTTCCTTCACTCTACTCCTAACAGCAGCATCACTGTGAATTTAACACTTATGAATTTGCTGTGTGGAAGCCTTTGTTGTCATTGTGAAAAAGTTCTATCCAATTTTAGGGAATGGGAGTTGGGAGTGGGCCCCCCCAACTCAAATTTACCCAGGGCCCCCAGACGGCCAACTCCACCACTGGACTTGAGCATAATGGATCGAATTGGTTGAAACCAGTAATAATATTAGTATAGAGTCTTGTTGTGTTGTAAGTTGTGAAATTAGACTAGAATGGCTTAATTGATCTCTTATGAAACTATAGCAAATATCTCTGGTCTGGAGATGGCGCAATATTTCAATAATACAAGGCTAACAGAAGAAAAACAGTCCCATTAAAGCATTTAACTGAAAATATGAAAATAGTGGAGGGTTTTTGTGTAGTTTTCTGCTGCAGCTAATACTTAATCAGAGTCACAATTGTTTCCCAAGGACTTCAACATAAAAATCACTTGTGTATGAGAAAAATAAAACTGAAATCCATATACTGTACACAGATCAAATGGCACCCTTTGGAAATATGGCAACCAACCTTCGCAATATGGGCATGTGTATTTCTCTTTTATTAATTTCCAGCTTTTAATCAGGTCTCTAGGGAAACACTGGCTGTTTTCTGTTATAGGAAATGTACGTAGAGTTCAAGCCCAGTCGGTGTTATGTAACTCGGCCTTGAAGATGAAAAAGAATCAGACCAAATAGCACATCACAGGGTTTTACATGCACTGCAGAGGAATGTCCCATGTGAAGTCCGATTGATTTGAATTCTACTAGTTTTGTCTGATCCAGATGAGACTCATTGCAAGAAAATAACTTGTTCAGAAAATATATTTGGACCAGGAATCGTGTACACAGCATCCCTCAAGGTTTAGTGCACAATACATGCTCACAATGCAAGAACTTTATGATTTTTAAAGAATAGAGTGTATTGTAAGTCAGTTACTGTGCATTATTGTCCTCAACAGGGACTTTTGTCTTCACAGTTATAACATTACTGGACCTATAGCAAAATGAGAGTATATATAAATAAATAAATTCATTTGGCAATATACCAATACTATTTGCAATATTGTATCAGTTCATTTAGTCTCACAATATATCAGTTGTTCAATGTTTTTGCAAGATTATTAATAAAAAATAAAAAATAAAAATTAATTGGTTTTATATAGCGCTTTTTAGGACACTCATAGACATGTCATTACTCTTTCACTCCATACACGTGGTGATAAACTACTATCCGCAGCTGCCCTGGGGCACACTAACAGAAGTGAGGAAATCTGTATGTGCCATTGGCCCCTCCGACCACCACCAACCGTTCACACACACACCAGACTCAGCTCTCTAAAGTTTGGTTTTATCGCTATAGTTTACACATGCATGTGTGTTTTGGTCTTTGTCACATCTTTAGATCAGCTTTTTCTGACAGAAAAGTTAAAAAAGGTAGGACCACCCTCACTCAGGCAATCATCTCTCAGCCCAAAGCGTCTAATAGTGGACACAGGACTTTAAGTTTTCAAGATGAAGATGAAAGCATGGTGTTATCTATTCGTTCACAATATTTCACTTTTGCAAAACTCTTTCGGATAAACAACATGTGTTGGAAGTTGGATAGTCCATTTAACCATAAGTAGCCTTGTCATGATTGGACAGTTAGCTTCTCATACTCCTGGTTACAGAAATATTGCGCAATACTTGGGGTAAAAAAGCACAGAGATGTACAAATGTCTCTTTTTTTCCCAGGTTGCCTATTTCTTTGTTTCCCCCTGAGGCGTCATGATCTGCACAAGTTGAATCGGTGAAGTGACAGGGCCATCTAGCGGATAAACTTAACAATACAGCTGCAGCGTGACGCCAAATCCTGCAGTGGGAAGAGGGGAAAGGGAGGGAGCACTAGACCCGCCTCTTTTCACTTTACGAGCCCAGAGTTGCTCTCATTGGACAGAAACGAGCTGTCAATCAATGCCCCCGGGATTCCAAGGCGCTGTGGTCTGCTCAGTGTGGCTCCGGACACGATAGAGACCACATCCCACGGAGAAAACCATGGAGAGACTGAACGCGTTAGATCAAAGTCAATCAAATGTATTTATGTTGGCTCCATATAAACACGAGCCATTGTATTTGTTTAGTACATTGTAAAAATATATATATATATATATTTTTACAAGACAAAACATGTCTAATATATGTCTAATATATATATTATATATATATATATATATATATATATATATATATATATATATATATATTATATTATAGACATGTTTTGTCTTTTTTGTTCTGTTATTATCCATCATTGAATTATTTATAGCATCTAAAATAATTTTTGGCAAAAAAATAGGTAAAGAAAACGTAGACTAACAAGCAAAGCAGGAATAATGAAATGCGCACTGGATAATATATAGGCTTACAAGATTTAAAATTTATAATATAATTTAACCCCATATATAGTTTTGGGTGTATATCAAAAACGTAATATATGTAGTATTGTTTGTAATAGCGACTTGCAATGTTTTATTAATAATCTATGTATTTGATAAGATAGGAAGAAAGCAATGTTTATTTACCACATTTCATAAACGCAAATTCCTTTCAATAGACAATATAGAATAGACTCAGATCCACAGAACCAGCTACACATACAGATACAGATACACACAAGCCTAAAGAGAACAACGTACAAAAAAAAAGTAAGGGTGGGTATGATAAAGAGCCCCTTCTTTGCTCCATGCATAATTAGGACATTTCAGTGTTGCAACGCAGAGCTCAGGAACAATATGAATAATATTGGACGCATTCAAATGAAAGATTCATATTTCTGGGAATAATATTCATGCTTAAAGATTATAAACACAAATATATGGCCTACACTGTGCATATGATAAGTAATGATAAAGTTTCACACAATAATCTTACACTACTACAACTCTCAGCTAACAATGAACACTGTTTATGAGGGAGTTTACATGTTTTAAATTATTTCAGTTGTCAATGATTATAAGTATCTGTTTATTGTCTGTGTTGTTCAAAAGCTACCGATGGGAACTTGAATTTAAATGAAAGATAAATAATTATCAGTAAGCGTGGACTACAAAGCCTGTCATTCACTTTACCTGCTGCTCATTATATATCATATTCTCTGCTCCTGTCCTGATTGTTAAGATTAAGATTAAGATTAAAAAATCCTATATTCGTCCCACAATGGGGAAATTTCAGCCTTAGCTGCAATCTCCACAAGATACTTATTTTTGACCCAAGAAAGTTCATTGTGTGTTTATTATCTACACTATGATTCGTGTGTATCCTGTGTGTTTCTTGTTTGTCCTGTAATTTCTCCTTCATAACTCATCACTAGACTGGCCCATTACAATCTTCACATTATAATATAATGGATGAATACATGTTATTTATTATTATCTTATGCTCAGACCATGTAGCATCTTTAATATCACGTGTATGCATTTGCCATACCATGTAGCCCCTATGATATTACTTATAGAATGCATTTGCCACATATTGTAGCACTTGCAATATACATTATGATAATGATACATTTTATTTACAGAAGTACACTTTACAAACATGGTTAAAAAACATGTGCAAGTGAAACTAATAAAAACAGAAAAACAACAGAAAAAAACAGAACTAGACGAAAGAAAATGCGCAATATTACTTTTTGACATATATCTTACCATGTATCCCCTATAATATAACTCCTATGCTTTTGCCACATACCTTACCATGCATCTAGCCCCTGTATATCACTTCTATAGAACACATTTGCCACATACCTTACCATGTAGCCCTATATTACTTGTAAGCATTTGCCACATATCATACCATGTAGCACCTGTACTAGTACTATCACTTCTACAGAATACATTCCCCACATATATCTTTCCTTCAGTCGTTGTCATACCCAGCAGACGCCCGTGGGTGGCGGAGCAGCCCCAGACCAGCGCTCGGGACGCTCTGGCGGACTGCGCTCTCATTGGCCACCCGTGCGCCTTTGTCACTTCTCCTCTGCTTTTTTTTTCCTGGCATGACCTTTTCCCTTGGCAACCACTTCCTCCGAGCATCTCCAGCACACCGGCCATCTTTAATTTTAACTCATTCATGAAAAGTTGTCTGGCGTTTGTAAACAGCTCTGCGGACAGATCGCAGGCGAAACGCGCGCCGCCGTCGCCAAAGCCACAACAAGGACACGCGGCGATTTGATTGTTTCTTGGTTTGTTTGTTTATTAGTAGTTATCTCTGCCAGCTGCTTCGTAAACAAAACAACAACAGAGGCGATCCGTGCAGCCGCTGTCCACCGAGAATAAAAAGCGTACGTGCTCTTGTCTCATGTAGTGGCGTCTCACAGAAACCAATCGTGTTTCTACCTTAGACATATTATCATCAAAACAAGTGCGATCTGCTTTGGAATGCCTTGTATAAAGTGTTGTGTTTGTGTCACTGGTTGTGTTAGGAGAGTGTGGCGTCCGTTTTCGTTGAATGACGCGTGTAAGGAAGCGCATAGACCGGACACTGCCATCTTTGTGTTGTCAAATATACCGTGGGTGACTGGTGTTGTTGTGATTCTGTCTATATGGATGAATTGCGTCGTTATTGCAAAGTTACCAGGTTGTGTACTAAACCAAATCATCACTCAAAGTCGTGTTTTAATGTGTAATACTGTCAGAATAGTCATTTTGTGCAATAATGTGTTCATCTCGGTTTGGTGACTTTAGTTGCTATTGTTTTCCTTATGTTGCATATGGTGAATATTGTGTATGTCCCTTGTTGCTAAGTGATGTTTGTGTACGTGTGTGAGTGTCTCTGTGCGCGTGTGTGCATACTGTAGCTATAGACTCCATAAATACTTACAGATTTGAGAAGGTTATTCAATAGGTTGCTATCATCTTGTTTTTTAAGATTCCTATTGAACTGTGCGTTGCAACACTGAATTTTCCTGATTGTGTGAAGAAAGCATTCAGCCATCTCAATTATAGGGAAAATATTGTTGCTTTTATGGAGCCAATGCAAGTTTAACACACAACTGTATTATTTAATACTCATACTAATTGAAACATTTATTTGTAAGTATATATTATACCTGTAATTTTTGTTATCTGAATAGGATTTAGGATAAAATATTGCACAAACCTAACAAGACCATACAACATGACCATTTACAAAAAATATACAATGTATTTTAGGTCTAGTATACTTAAGTTTACTTAAACTTCTAAAGATAATTCAGTCAACTCAAATTCTCCAAAAGAACTACTATGATACAGTTCATGTTAAAATATACATTACCCACTTAGAGTATACTTTTTGCCCCAGTGGGTCAGCCTCCAATTGTTCTCCCACTTGTAAGAAGCCTGTATTCCATCATACGTAAACCACAGCGAGACAGAATGAGAAAGAATATCCAGAAAGTCACATTTTCAGATTTTTTAAGAATTTATTTGCAAAAAGGGTCACCTACAAACAAGCAGTTTTTCTCACTGTATATAGTGGTTAGTTTTCATAAATATTAAAGTGTTTTGTCTTTTCAGATGCGAAAGAAGCAGACTGCCAAACAGAGGAAGACTGAGGATTCATCAGTTATCCAGAAGTTTGTTGTTGAAAGAATAATACGCCGACGCGTCTCCAATGGAAGAGTAGAGTATTTTCTCAAGTGGAAAGGCTTCACTGAGTAAGTTATACCTGAGTACTTTGTTATCAGTATCAGTACTGTAACCTGGATTTAAATAACTTTTGATCAGGGTTGTGTCTACACTGCTCTACACATACACGTGCAAATATATAAACATAGGTATACAATCAAGCAACAGTATTTGCCATCGTTTCACCATGGTGTATATATAATTACGATATGTATTTACAAAACTTGTGTGTGTGTGTGTGACTATACACTATTGTATTGCCATGTTTTTTTGTCGAAGTGGACTGCATTGTTTCTTGCTAATTGTTTTGTAGTGTGTGCTTTGTTTTTAAATGTGTGAGAGGGGGATTGGATTAATACAAGTATTTTGCTAACCATGCGCATGTATTAAATATATATTACACTATGAATTTGTGATACTGTAGTGTGTAAATTGGGTAATGCATCTGTGCTGTGTCTGCAGAGAGGACAACACATGGGAGCCTGAGGACAACCTGGACTGCCCTGAGCTCATCGAAGCGTTCCTCGTCACAAACGCACATCTGAGCGACAACCCTGAAGAAGAGCAGAGCGAAGTCATGCCCAAAGAAGAGGGCGCCGAGCAGGAGACGGAGATAGTGAGTTTGAAACGTACAGCTATGTGCATTCTATCGTTTCACATTTTTACTCGCCTGAATGATGTTAAAGATGAGGTCAACCACTTAAAGTGTATTTCATTATAATCTACAGGTGAAACTTAACATGTCTATTCACTTCTGTCATTTAACTTACAATGTAAAACCAATATTACACACAAAGTTGTTAAGCCTTTATTTGTTATAATGTTGATAATTGGATCTCTTTTTAAGTATCACAAATAAAACAAAATCGTTTGAAGATGACTATAAGCCATAATCATCAAAATGATAAAGGCTCGTCAGATGAGTCCATATTCTACATTGGTTTCATGTTTGAAGTTGAATTACAGAAACAAATGAACTTTAATGGTTCTATTTTTCATTTGTGAATGTCAGTGTCTTATACACTGTTCTAGTATGTAGCATGTTTGGCCTCCTGCAGAGTCAGAACTAAACATGGGGAAGCTGCATTTCAGATTCTCGCAGCTAAAATCTGGAACAGTCTTCCCAAAAATTTGGGACAGGCTTCTTCTCTGACAACGTTCAAATCCAGGTTAAAACAGTTTAGCTGTGCATACAACTGGGGGTTTTATCTTTACTCTTTTTTTTAATGTTCTGTGATTATTTATGATTTCAATGCCTTGTGTGACTGTCTCTGTCTTATGTTGTTCAACACTTTGAGTTTCTGTGTGTGAATTGTGCTAAACAAATAAACTTGTAAGGTAAAGTATTTTTGTAATAGTATATTTAAACTGTTTCCCAACCTTGGAATATGAGAATAGTTAAACCAATGGCGAGGAGCCTCAAGGATTTGAAAACATTTTGACCAATCTGAAGCTGCATGGGCGGGTCTCAAATGTTTTATTCTTTCTTTAGTCTGAAAAGTAACTGATTCACCTTACTTTAATTCAATCAGTTATTCTGTGAAATGATTCAAATGGATGTCCTTGTGTGTGTCCAGTCTCAGCAGCAGACTGACAGCCTCCTCCAGCCGCACTCAGACCTGTCAGACTGCAAACCTCTGCCCAGCTCTCGCCAGGAGCCTGAATGCATCATCGGCTCCACAGACCGACGAGGAGAGCTCATGTTTTTAGTCAAATGGTAAATCTGCTGCTTTCTTTTTTCAGATTCAAAAAATAATCATTCAATAACTACTAAAGCAAAGCCAAGTAGCAACTGTGCAAACTATAGGACTCTATATGTGCCCCATCAATCCAAGCATAAACTTGGTTAGAAATGTACAAAGTTGTAGTTTGAAGTTGTTTACTTGGGTAAATTGAGTAACTGGATTTTAGCAGGAACCGGAACACAGTATCACATGTGGTGATCCAGAGCAACTCAAACATGTCCCTCTGAGGTGTTGCTCCTGTGAAGTGTAATTGATATACTTTGCAAGATTATTTTTATGGCACAAGCTGATAGAGATTATGTAGTCTCTGTTTAAAGGCAGCCAGCTGAAGTACTAGTAGTAGTAGTATGCAAGTAGTATGAGTAATATTACAAAAGCAAGAATCAAAGGCCCGGTGTGGCTGCAGGTTTTAGTTCCAGGAGAGCAGGAGAACACCAGACTCCACCCATTTCCTCAAATCTTCAAGTTAAAACTGGACTCACCTGAGGAAAGGGCCACACGGGCCCTTTGAGAATCAACCAATCAACCTTTATGTGTAGTTTTGTTTCCAACACAAGGCAACCCAAAGCGCCTCACAACCATATCACATCAAGCACAAACATTAAAATCTACATAAACTTTAAGTAATACAATTTCAAAATACACTTAAAAACAAACATTAAGATCACAAGAAATATTAGAAATAAAACCACACAAGTCATTCAAAACCTTGATGATGGTTGATGTTTTGTTGTTTGAACATTAAACCATGCTTTTCAAGACTTGTCTCCGAAAGTCTCGTCAGTATTATTCACGATGTATTTCTCCCGTAGGAAAAACTCTGAGGACGTGGCGCTGTTGTCGGCGCGAGAGGTGAGCGCTCGCACCCCGCAGGTGGTCATCGACTTCTACGAGCAGAAGTTGACATGGCACGAGGACGAGCAGTGCGAGAAGCAAAAAGGCCCTCAGCTCCTGGCTCCGGAGAGCAGTGTCCCCTCTGTGTAACCGGGTGCAGTGGCAGAGTGAAGCCACCGGGGGCGTAAGAGCAGATAGAGATGGTGCTAATGTCAGGGTTCGTACAGTCACAGAAAAATGCAAATTCAATGTCCAGGCCTTTGAAACAGCAGTATATATTTAACATTTCCGAAAAGTTTGCACAGACATTGGGAATTATAGCTGGAAACTGCTCATATTTTTGGAATTTGTACATCCAGCAACCATCACTACAGTGTTTTTGATCGGAAAATGTGCAATAGTGTTGGCACATAAACCAAATTGTGATCATGGGAACTTTTTGTGTGACCTGAATCATCTGTTTGTTTGTGTATATTGATCCAGAATTTTCCATATTGGCAAAGTATGTTTTTCATTTAAGCCGAGACAGTAAGGCATTGGGATTTTATTTCGGCAATATTTTTCAGATTTATTCTTAAGAAAAATGGATAAAATTGCTCTTAGATTTTATTTTGCCCAATATGTGAAATTTAGAGGATTCTGTTTTGTCAAATATTTTGCCAACTTGAGACATTTCTTGAATTTTGTTTCTTGAAACTGGACATAACATAGAATTCATGTATGGCAAAACTATCCTACATTTGAAACTTTATTGTAATCAAATAGAAAATGGAACTCTTAAATTCCGTAAATTATTGTATTTGGTCTCAAATGGCTGCGAGTTGGGGAATGGTTGTGTCGTGAAAAGCCTTAAGTTAAATTCTGTACGAACCCTGCACGATGTATCCTGTGGTGCTTAGTGGTCGATTCTTTTTTTAGCATTCTGAAGTGAATGCCACAAAACCAAAACTAACTTTCGTTTTGATTTTTGAGAAGACTAACCTGTAGCAGTCTGTGTCGTCGTGTAGGACACACAATCACTGTGGAAGTGGTGTTTTTTGTTTTCGGCCCAGAACAAGCATTTACTGTGTAGTTGTCATTAGTCACTAGTCGAGGTGGGAGATGTAGCTTAACAAATGTATACCTTGCAATGGTTGTCTTGGCAACATATAAAATGGCAGATATTGTAATGCAATTATTATTCAAAGGCTGCAAAAAGAACCGATACACAATGAACCAACAGAACCAACTTGCTCTGTAGTCTTTCAGAAACTGGAGCAAAGGGATAATACTGCCGTTTTTTCATTTTGTTTTGTTTTGTTTTCTCTGAATTTTAGGAATAATGCTTTTTGAATGCACCGAAATGAGGGAAAAAACCCAATACTGGTATAAAAATATCTGTTGGTTTTCTCCCTTGCGTAGGGATGAAGCAAGCAGCTAGCATTGCGTCCTCTACACACTACACGCATCTTTTGAAGTTTTTCAGCCCAAAGTACGAGCCACATGTAGTGACACAGCTTTCTGTCAAAGTACATAGGACATATGCTATTGCTAATGTTTTTGACACTTGATCAGTGCCATGCGCTGCTCTTGCGGTGTGTAGGTAACGTTGTTTGATACTTGTTTCTACTGACCATACTATTTCTAATTTCTAAAACATGAAAGGAAAAAGGAAATATTTGTATACTCATTTTTATTGACTAAAAATAATGTGTAATATTTCTTGACTGGCGCATCCCCAAACAAGATTACCCGCAGTCTGTAAAACAATGCAGTGGAGGAGAAACAATTATAATGTGAGAAAAAGTATCAAAATCTGCCTGAAATCTCACTTGTCAGCAGATTTTATCAAATACTTCTTTCTCTTCGAATTCTTTCTCTCTCTCTCACCGCTGTGGATTCATTTTTGAGCGACATCACCCACCCCTAGTTGTTGCGAATGCTGCAAAGAGGAGTCCTTGGTTGTTTAGTGAGTAGTCGGACTTAACTACTGTGCCTCGAGACACTAACCTTTTCACTGTTGTAAAGTTTGTGTGCGTTTATAACCTTCGATTGATCTGTATTCCGCTACTGCTACTGTGCGACCTTTGCGGTTAATGTGTAATTTGTGAAAAAGAGTTACTCAGCAGAAAATCCCTCGTTTCATTCTGCAGCTATTTACCAAAAAATCATTAGTAAGAATGTGGTAAAAGATAATTGGCTGCATGAATGCCCCTTTGGCGTCGCACATAAAACTGGCGAGTCATATGAAGGTTATAGTGTGTATGGCAGTTTTGAATCATTCTCTAATTTCTGTTTTATTTGGTGCCTGTTGTAAATTAAAATTATAGATTAGCATCAATTAAGAAGCAGTAAAGTCGAAAATATGTCAAACTCCAGGAAGTAAAAGTCTATGATGACATCACACCAGGGAGAATTTCACATTTCAATGAGAATTTCAGATTTTCAGACATTAGTTATTGTTCTGAGAATTTAAAGCATATTTCATACCTGCAACTTCAATTGTTTTTCATGTTAATAGAACATATTTTTTGACATATGACCTTGAATCCTTTAAACCACCACCTGTTACATTTTCTGTAGGAGAATCGTTTCAATTCATTTCATCCAATCAAAAAGCTGTGGGGGCGGGTCTATTTGGATCTTGCTCTTGTGTTGGAAAAAATGTCTCTCCATCTAAAAATATTGAAAAGTAACTAATCTTCACTTTGAATAAGGATTGCATATTATTTGTTTATGGAAAATCATAATTTCTCTGTTGTATTGGAAAGAGAAATGCCCAGTAACCGTGGCGACGCTGGAGATATTTAATAAGAGAGCTCTGTATTACACAAAGGGTGTCGAACTATGACAGAAAATGCTAAAGAAATAATAAATATTAATCAGAAAAATACTTTTGTGTGTGCATAAACAATGTAACTACAGCAGCCATTGTTCTGTAGCAAAACATAAACAAATGTCAAATCGGTTTTTTTATGTCAATTTTTATACTTCAAAATTTCCGACAGTCAAAACTGGAGCTTTCTGCAATTCTATTAATCTGCTAGAATTAGATTTGACCCGATAGAATATTGTATTTCCAGGGGTGAGGTATGGACCCCTAGGCCCGTCCATGCCCACAAGAATCTCCTGGTGTGATGTCATTATTTTAAAACCAAGACGTAAAATTCAACCCAGAAAAAAGGCCTAAACTGAAGTCGTATTAGTTAAATGTGATGCAAAATCTGATTAATAGTTATATATAAGTTGAAACTGTCATACGCACGCTAAGGGATTGTTATTTGAAGCACTTTAGTGACCGCCTGTTGTTCTCACAGGGCATTGTCTTCCTGTAGCTCACCTGTTGTAACCTCTCCCAATGGGACCTCGGCTTTGATTTATCCAGGAAATGAACCTGCTACTGATTTTACTGTATCCTACTACTGGTGACCATGGATCTGTGAATGTTTGTGAATAAAATACTTTGTGCATCTATAACGTTGTGTCGTCTCAACTCATGCTTTTAAATCCAGCAATTGTTTTTTGTAGAGTGCTTTTACCACACAGGGCCACACAGACGCTTCACAGTCCAAGAGAGTCTGGCTGCAGACTCCCCCCCCCAGGTCATGTGACCTTCTTCAGGAGCCCCTGTTACGTGACCTCCTTCAGGAGCCCCGTCACGTGACCTTCGCCATGAGCTACTGTTACGTCACTTCCCTGGGATTTGAAAACGTTTTTCTTCATGAAGTTATAAAGCTTATATTTAAGTAGTATATATTAAGTAACAAACAAACAAAAATAGTGACCAGGTATTATGTATATGAGCGATCGCTGTTTTGATCTGGGCATTTGGGATGCCAAAGGACAATTCTGTTGTTTGTTTAAACAAACAATTTTTGTTTGTTTATAAGAGCGCCACCTGCCCGTCACCCGTAGTATAGAACATGAAAAAACTTCGAAAAGACAATATATATGGTGGGAGACATGGCAAGGCTTAAAATAGTCATATAGACCCGGACAGTGAGGAGCATGAGAACATCTTGGAGCCCTTCAAGTTTGTCTTCTCTCGGATTGAGGACATGGAACTCTTTTCTGTTGAATGTGTTGATAAATAAATTGAGATAATTTATTCACCACAAAAGGGGAATGTTCAGTATTGCAACACAAGTTCCAGAATGGTAGGAAAATCAAAAATGTGAGTAGACCTAGGTCTAGCTAACTCTTATTCCTCTAGAAAATTTAAGAAAAAAGAAATTGGGTACCTATGTAACTTTGATGCTGTTGCGAGAATAATATAGAGGAATGGAATAAGCATCTAGAAGTTGCAGCTCTTTACTATAATAAAGCCTCGCCATGTCTCCTACCATATTGTCTTTTCGATGTTTTTCATGTTCTATGCTACGGGTGACGTGCAGGTGGCGCTCTTGTAAACAAACAAAAAGGTCTGCAGTGGGGGAGTCTGCAGCCAGATGCCTCTCTCACAGTCTGCATTTCACCAGGCACAAATCATCACATAAAATATAAACCCCAAAATCACCATTTAAAACACAATATAAATCACTTAAGTAATTAAAACTAGAGATGACCGATACGAGTACCTTAATTTGATTACTTGCCAATACTGATGCAAGTACTGCATTGTGTTCTTCCTGGGCATTCATAAAACTTTTACAACTAAAATAATTCATTTTTCATTTTAACAATAAGAAAATGCTTTAACACTTGACATTTGTAGCTATCATTTTAACAGTCAACAATAAAAGCCGCTGTCATACGGTTGTTTTTGTTCTTCGGTGCTAGCAAAGGTGCTATGCTAGTTTTCAGATGTTCGATCAAGTTGCTGGTGTTATTCGTGTTTGTTTTGGACCCACCTCGTGACCCTAACCCTTGTCACTTTTACACTAAAACTGCTATAGGGTCGACATCTGCTTGCGCCAGTATCGGTATTGGTGCATCCTGAATTAAAACCATAACGGATTAAAATAATAAATATCAACGATGCATTAAAAAGAGTAGAGATAAAAAATCCTTCAGGTGTACGCTCAGGCAAACTGACCGTCTTTACCCTGGATCTACTGCACAAAAACTGCATGTTTGTCCTGAAACGTTATTGGGGTATGCACAAAAAGTGTATCAGCTGATCCACACTGAACACTTGAAGTTCATTAAATATGGTTATTGAGGTAAAGTAA